TTTTCTGTTTTTTTTAATGGACGGGGGCCCAAATAACGGACAGTCTGGGCGAAATCCGGACACCTGGTAACCCTAGACACAATGTTATATCAGTGGAACTCACCAAATTAACTAAAGCCCACTGTAATCCACCTCTTCTGAACTGGGCACTGAAGTACACTTATATAACAGGTATGGACTACACACAGAGTAAGTGAGACAACTTGTGGAAGGGATGTGACATGCCTGTACATTACACACACCCTAGATATCACAGCTATTCATCACAGTTTTAAAACATTTGTAGGATGATCATTCTTCATGGTTTTTGTCACCATTTAACTGAGGTATGAAAACAGTTTATATATGCACAGTGATCCCGGAGAGAAAGAGAGAGAACTGCTTAGCCAGTTTTCAGGAGAACAGCTATATTACTGTTCCTATGGCCAACGGTAAGCATTCACCAGCCTTAGGATCTTCACTCCAAGGAGGCCTCAGAGAAATGTAACTATCTTATGAGTCTTAGGGTGATTATAGTGTGTCCGTCTCAATGTTCCGATAGGATTTCAGGCCTCGGTCATGGTTCTTCAGCGAACAGTTTACAAGTCGCCACTGTCCTCAGATTTCAATAGTATTTGATTGCTGTTTTGGTTGGTTTTCTTGTGCATCACATATCATTTGTACTTAAATCTTACCCGTTTCTAAAGGATTTTTTCATATTATTTTGCTCCTGTTATCTGGAATCCAAGAAAAAAAATCAAACGCCAACAAAGTAAGCCTGTTCCCACTGTGCTGCATTTACTCTGCAGACAATATAACCCCACCCACTATATATTGAGAGGCTGCAACAAAACCACTGCAGGATAAGGATTTTGACACAGCATCCTTGCAGTGGGTAGGAAGCAGCATGCAGCACCCCTTCTGGCAAGAAAAAAAGTGGTAGGTGTTTAAAAACAAACAAAGAAAATGTTTTATTTTCATAAATCAACTGTGATGTGTTGACTTACAAGCTTATAAAAATGTTTGTATAGTGTGGAATCATGTATGTTTAGCCAATGCAACCCTGCACCTGGCTCTGTTTGATTTGTACTCAGATTGACTGGAAAGCATTATTTACTGTGGCTTACCTAAGCACTTACAGGTATTTATTTATCAATGGATAAGGGCAAGCAGCACCTTTCCTTACATCTGCAGGTACTTACCACAGATCACTTGAGAAAGTGAATTCTGTAAGTTGTAATGATGCCTAGTTTGGTGGGGTGCTTTCCAGCATTGTGTTGCCTAGAGAATTCTGATTCTCCAAAAATCACAATGTGTGAGGGAACTTGACAGTGTGAAAGTAAATATATTCAGAGCTTTTAGTCACTTACTTTACATCTATTTTCTACCCCTTCCCAATACATTTCTGTTTTTGACAATATGCATTCTCCTTTGAGCAGGACTATCTGTCAGAGCTGGTGATACTTTTGATCAGAACTAAAGATGTGTTTAGTATAAACTTGAAGAAGGGGCGACTAAATGTCTTTTGTCTCTGTAAAACTAAGTGCTCCTCTTCACCCAGAAATCTCCATTTTTGCATGCTGATGCAGTCACCTTTCACTGCACAAGGTAGAGAGCAGGTGACAGACAAATTTTAAAGAAACATTTCCAGGATTTCAATCCAATGACCAATTAAAAAGGAAAGAAAGGAACAGCACAAAATGAACACAATGGAAGTAGTATTCTGGAGTCATTTTGTGACCTCTTGATTGAATCAGAGATCTCAATCTGAAGAGTCTCAAAAAAGTCATGTGTAAAGCAAAAAGCGAATGATGCCGTTATTGCATACTGTAAGTACGTGATATATGACTTGATTTCCACTACTCTATCATTTACCTAGAATTTGTCTTACTGAACTATCCCTCACATTGGAGGGGTTTTTGTATTATGGATGGTCCATGATTACTTAGCGGTGAGGTTAAATTAACAGACTTCGGGCTCAACCCTGAAAGATTATAAACCCTTCAGTGCTGCTCCAGCCAAATTCTTAGGTCTATACAGGTAGTCCCCGAGTTACGCGGATCCGACTTATGTCGGATCCGCACTTACAAACGGGGCTTTCTCGCCCCGGAGGTCGGGGCGAGAAAGCCCCGTTTGTAAGCTGCTCCGGTGCCCCTGGTCTGCTGTAGACCGTCTCCAGCAGACCAGGGGCACCGGGCGGGTTCCCGCGCCTCTGAGGCTTTGCCAGAGCCAAGGC